GTTTTTAGCCTCTATGGAGTAAAAATCAGCTGTTGTCAACTCAGTTGTAAATTTCTATTGTAAACGATTGCATGTATCAAAAATATGTATCAATTCGTGCTTCGTAATCATTTTAACATACAGTCTACAGTCTCTTCCCGTAGCATTTTAGCATTGCAGATACATTAATCCATTCCCAAACTCAACACTGCTCACCTTTACTACTTCCTTCACCACACCCTACTTCGTGGACCTGTTTCCCTCTCTTCCCATAGCATTTTAGTATTTTAGATACGTTAATCTAATTGCCACAAACATTCCCACACTCCATACTGCTAGCCTTTACTACTTCTTTCACCATTTCCTATTTCGTGGACATGCTTCCATCCCTTCTCATAGCATTTCAGCATTACAGATGCATTAAAACTGCTACAAACGGTTTCCAGTTCCTACACTCCACACTGCTCACCTTACTACTTCTTTCACCTCTTCCTACGTCGCGGATCTGTTTCCCTCTCTTTCCCATAGCAATTTAAGATTGTAGATACCTAAATCTAATCGTCATAAACAGTTCCCACACTCCGAACAACTCGCCTTTACTACTTCCTTCACCACTTCCTACATCGCGGACCTGTTTCCCTCCCTTTCCGTAGCATTTTAGGATTGCAGATACCTTAATCTAATCGTCATAAACAGTTCCCACACTCCGGACAGCTCGCCTTGACTACTTCCTTCACCACTTCCTACGTCGCGGACCTGTTTTCCTCCCTTCCCATAGCATTTTAGGATTGCAGATATTTTAATCTAATCGTCACAAATAGTTCCCACAGTCCGGAATGCTTGCCTTTACTACTTCCTTCACCACTTCCTACGTCACGGACCTGTTTTCCTCCCTTCCCATAGCATTTTAGGATTGCAGATACCTTAATCTAATGGTCACAAACAGTTCCCACAGTCCGGACTGCTTGCCTTAACTACTTCCTTCACCACTTTCTACGTCACGGACCTGTTTTCCTCCCTTCCCATAGCATTTAAGGATTGCAGATACTGTACCTTAATCTAATGGTCACAAACAGTTCCCACAGTCCAGACTGCTTGCCTGTACTACTTCCTTCACCACTTCCTACGTCGCGGTCCTGTTTCCTTCCCTGCCAGTAGCATTTTAGGATTGCAGATACCTAAATGTAATCGTCATAAACAGTTTCCACACTCCGGACAGCTCGCCTTGACTACTTCCTTCACCACTTCTTACGTCGCGGATCTGTTTTCCTCTCTTCCCATAGAATTTTAGGAATGCAGATACCTTAATCTAATCGTCATAAACAGTTTCCACACTCCAGACTGCTCGCCTTTACTACTTCCTTCACCACTTCTTACGTCGCGGACCTTGTTTCCTCCCTTCCCATAGAATTTTAGGAATGCAGATACCTTAATCTAATCGTAATAAACCGTTTCCACACTCCAGACTGCTTGCCTTTACTACTTCCTTCACCACTTCCTAGGTCGCGGACCTGTTTTCCTCCCTTCCCATAGAATTTTAGGAATGCAGATACCTTAATCTAATCGTCATAAACAGTTTCCACACTCCAGCCTGCTCACCTTTACTACTTCCTTCACCACTACATACGTCACGGACCTAAAGCTAGTGTTGTCATTTGATTATATTTATGATCCGTACCGTTTCTGTTCTAATATCTGTGGAATAATGTTATCAGCTATTTCTTTATCTACTGCATTCAAAAGTCAACAGCTGATCATATGTCTTTGTTTATGTGTCAAATACTGCATCCATAAGGATTACATTGAAACTTTGAGACCCAGTGGGGTGGATTCCTGAGAGACTTTTTTAACGCCATATAGATATTGGCACTCACTAATATGGTCTTTATCACCATGCAAAATTTGAAAACGATTGATTCAGCCGTCTAGGAGGAGTTTGCGTATTACGAAATGCATAAGAGTTGACGTATAAGAGCTTCGCTCGCTTCGCTTGCTTCGCTCGCTCCGCTCAACTAAGCCTAAAAATGCTTTTAATTGGGTAACATCTTTTAGTTCTGGGGCGTTTACAATGGCTTTGACCTTGTCTTGTGAAGTTTCCAACCCTCGTTTGCTTATGACAAACCCTAGATACTCTAAACTTTCACAGAAAAATTTACATTTACTTTTACTGACTGTGAAATGTGAAACCATTGTCTTGTAGTCGTTTACAAACTAACTTTAATTTACTAATGTGTTCAGAGTCATTTTGTCCTGTTACAAGAATGTCATCTAGAATTACCGCTACACCTGGTATTCTTTGTAAGGTTTGCTCCATTATGCGCTGAAAAATACCAGGAGCAGATGATATGCCATAACATAATCTATTGTACTCAAACAAGCCCTTATGGGTACTAATTGTACATAACTTTTTACTTTCGTCATCTAGTCTTAGTTGTTGATACTCTTGTGACAAATCTATTTTAGAAAACCTGTCTCCATTTTGCAAACTTGATAACAATTCTTCAATCTTAGGTAAAGGATGTCTGTCTATCTCTAAGAAAGGATTTAGCGTTACTTTATAGTCTCCACACAATCTTAACTGACCATTTGTTTTCAAATCTGGTACTATAGAGGTAGTCCATTGGCTTGTGGTTACTGGTGAAATAATACTCTCAGCTTCTAAACGTGCTAGTTCTGCTTCTACTTTATTTTTAAGTGTGAAAGGTAAGGTCCTTGGCTTATGATATTTAGGGGTTGCATTAGGTTTTAGTTTAAGTTTGACTGGTTCTCCTTTAAAACAACCTAGCTTGTCTGTGAAAACATCAGGGAATTCCTCATACAACTGTTTAACTAGCTGCTTACCCTGCTGATGTACTGTGACGTTTGTTTGTTTGTTTACATTGGTAACTGCGGTATCGGCCACCTCAGTCGGCGCGCTAGTGTTGACCATTCTGCTAGCAGAACAGCTGACAGGTGTACCAACTGAGCTGTCATCCACAGCTGATTGAACATTGTTTACTTTACTACTATTTGGGATACTAAAAACTAGCTGCAGTGCTTTCATCCAATCCCTACCTAATGGGTTTGCACCGTTAGGGACAATATACAAATGCCTTCATGTTTTACATTTACACATAGTTTACCGATAGGTACGATCTTTTCGTGAGTGTACGAACTAAGAACTAAGCTTGTTGGTAGTAACTTTACATGACATAACTTTACTTTGTAATCTTTTTCAGATATAACTGACACACAAGCTCCGGTATCAATTTCAAAAAGGATCTTTTTGCTCTCTACCTCTAATTGCACTCTAATTGGTTCTACTTTTTTCCTAACTTCTACTCCCTGTACCTGAAATAAGTTAGATATGTCATATACCATGTCTTCTTCTACACTTTGTTCAGGGCATTTTCTGTGACATAATGTTGCCTAGCATTAGCATTACTGTACTTTGAATTAAAATACGACTTATTTCCTCCCCTAGCCTGTCCATTAGTCTTAGATACATTGTTATACCGTTTACTAAAATGGGGCTTATTTACACTTCTACTCTTAGATCTACTTGCTTTCTCAAGATGTCCTTTCTTCTTACAGAAATTGCAATTGTACTCACGATACCGACATTGCAGAGTATTGTGATTGTTCTTTCCACAGCAGTTGCATTCCCGGGGCTGTGACGTTGCCAAACTTCTGTTGGCTGCGAATTTTCCTCCGCTTCCGCTCGGTGCTGTCCTTGTCGTCTGGCTGAGGCGCTGAAGTCGTCCTGGATTAAGCGTCATTTAGGCTGCTCCTTTCTCGGTGAACTCCATTGACTTTGCCAGCTGTACTGCCTTGTCGTAGGTCAGGTTCTCCTCCCCCAGCAGTCGTCTCTGGATGTGGTGGTTCTTGAGGCCTGATACCAGTCTGTCTCGTAGATGGTCTGGAAGCTTGTCTCCAAACTCACAATGCTGCGATAGCTGCTTTAGTTGTACGATATAATCACTCACTGTTTCGTGTTCTAACTGATGTCTGCGGCTGAATTTAAAACGTTCTGTAATAAATGACGGTTTCGGTTGTAAATGTTTATCGACCGTGTTTACAATTTCCTCGTACGTCTTGGACGAAGGTTTATCCGGTGTGATTAAGTCCTTTAACAATTTATACGTCCTGACTCCCATTACCGTTAGTAGTGTGCTCGCTTTCTTTGTGGCATTAATCCCGTTGCAGTCTACAAAAAGTTCAAATCGCTCTGTATACGATTGCCAAAGTTTCTTCGGCGCTGTCAAAAGGACCGATATTACCAATTGTTGCCATGTTTGTTGAAAAATATGTTTGCGCTAACTGTCCGAATTGCTCAAAAAAACTTTCATTCAACAGCATTAGTGCCTTTTTTACACTTATTTAACTGTCCGTAGTCTAATATTACGTCCATAAAACAAAGAATAAAGTAATGTTAGGTGTACCTTTCTACACTGACGATAACGTTTCCGCCAAGAATATGAGTCTGAGTCAATATTCCCGGTTGTTTGACGTTCCTTTCACTTTGTTCACTTGCACTGTCACTTTGTTCACTTGCACTGTCACTTTGTTCACTTGCAATGTCACTTTGTTCGCGAATTACGTTTTAAAACGTGATACTATTCCGTATTTCTCGTCGCCAGTTGTACAGTACGTCGGCATCGTACTGTACGTTTAGGGTCAGGGATGGGGTGTTGTAAGTAAATACACTGGTTACATTTTAAAAAGGCTCAGAGGGCCGCAAAGGGTATATGATGTTGACGGGTCTAAGACATGGTGTGGGCTGACGTGAGGAGAGGGGATTTAGACTGCGTTCGGAAAGGTGGTGTGATTGTGGCGTGATATGACGTCACGGGAAATAACCATGAGCTGCTTTATTGGAAATAATATGGTACATAAAAAAAGCACAATCATAATAAATCAGTTAAGAACTAAACAATAACACAATCATAATAAATCAGTTAAGCTTGGAATAGTTGATAAATAATGGTTTGTTTTGTGAATTTGTTGCCTCTGTGTATTGTAATATTTTATTTTGTTCTCAGGAATTAGTAAGTACATTCCAAAGCAAGATTGTACCTAAAACCAACAAGAAAAAGATCCTACACAGTGTCCCTTCAACAGCTTCCCTGTATGGTACAGATGTAGTGGTGGAGGAGCATAGGCAGCTAGTAGACAGCATTGCCAGGCATATTATATTTGGTAAGTAGTTAAGTTAAGGTAATATATTCATCATTTCAGCATTTCCCGATTCCCTCGTCTCTCTTGGAAAATTCTAGATCAATGAAAATGCCGGCATCTTTGAAATGTTGTCTAAATTTAAAATAATTTCTGTTATTTTCAAATTGAGCTATCAGTAATTTTACCTCTTGCTTAACACTTTCGTTGCGGCCTACTGCTATAGCAGTAGCGCGGCACTGGCACTGCTCGGGGCCTACTGCTATATCAGTAGTGTGCTCGCCTGCCAAATATTGTGTCTGTCTGGGCCCTGCACTCGGCTGGCGACAATGTGATTGTTGCCAGGCTGTAGCTTAGAATACTAGCTTTGTTTTTGTGTAGGTTGGTACTAAACATTCCAGTAAAAATCCCGTCTGGCAATGCTTTTGTCCCGTTTTCGGGGATTTTCTCTATTTGAGCCATATTACAAAGACTCTGGTTATTGATCCAGGCAGTGCTGCTACCTTTGGGTGTTTCAGTAAACTACGTCTACTTTCGGGGTAATGCAGACCAATCCCCACTGCTCTTTTGTGATTCGTTTTACTGAGATATTTCAATGGAATGCCAATAGCGGCCGCTAAATTAAGTAGCACGCCAGGGCTCCGCCCGGGCCTCGCCGCAGTTTAGGAGCGCCTGTGTAAAGGTTTTCAGCAGCGAACGTGTTAAATTAATCAACTTATCGTCGATTACAGACTGTTGCAGATCCACCGCTGTGATGTCCACCAATGCCGTCAGTTTCCTGTTGTTGCACGTGTTCCGAGATGGTGGTAAAGTGGACATGATAGCAGAGGCGCTAGACAAGCTTCGTTCACTCCTCAGTTTAACAGACCGTGACTGTGGCTTTGTAGGAGACTCTGTTGATGTCATCAACCATGCGGTAAATGTTACACTTTTTATTCTGTATGTTAAATGTTGAATAAAACGAATAAATTGAATAAGTTGAATAAATGTTGAGATGGGACGATACCAAAAATTGTCGATACCGATACCACCAAAGTACTCTCGATACCTATCGATACCGATACTTCCGATACCTATCTTTTTTGCACAGTTTCATCCACTAATAATATTATAAACTGTTATACCATAAAAAAACACAATATGTATGTGTATCAAACTTATATTTTGGTGTTAAAGGTTTATTATTAATTGCAAAAAACAATTGCAAATACATGGAAATAAGTGTTTATTTTAAAATAGGCCTACTGTAAATGTTTGAATTTGACTAAAGCATGAGATCTAATAAAGTTTACTCTAATTTAAAAATAGGCTTATATAAGTATTTATCTGTCATTTGTCAGTTTTTGTATTTATTTGAAATTGCATCAATTGTCTTAGTTAACTCATGGCCTACCATCGAGGGCCTCATGGCCTCATGGCCATCTTGGCCTACAAATACTCTGTACTGTAAGTTTTTTCTAAGAGAGTAAAAACGAACTTCCTATATAATGACAGTTTCTCACTAGTTGTATGAAAAACAGTTATATATCTTCAAAATTTGTTTAACTATGAAAAAGTCACCAAGTCTAGCTGAAAACACATTCATAAATGAGGATATTTTTGAAATACAGAATAACTAATCTAACGACCTTTTTATTTTAAACACTTTTATTTCTTAACTTTTCTTCCTTGAAAATGTCAACAGTTTTTCACTTACTTTTAATAAAGATTATCACTTATAATTTCTCAAAAGAGCTTATAATTATATGAAGAGCAGACAAGAGACATACGTCACTGCTACAAAAACTATTCTCTACTGTGAATGAATGAACTGAGTGTTTATTAGTTTGAAGCCCCGCCCACCGTCTAACAGGACATGGGGTAGGAAAAGAGAAAGTTTGCTCTAAAGCCTGGTTCACATGCCCTCCCTCACCCTCGGCCTTAGTCGCTTGGCAGATTTCCATTACACAAAAGTTTCTGAGTGTTAATTATTTTAAAACACTGTAAATTTTTGAATTTGACTATGATAAGATCTAATAAAGTTTCCTCTAATTTATAAATAGGCTAAAAGTATTAATCTAAGTCACTTGACAGTTTTTGTATTTATTTTTAAAAGCAATTGCAGTTATACTTTTATAAAAATTACATACATCTTGGCCTATAAGGAGAGTCTTTTCTCTAGTGAGTAAAAACGATCGTGGTCAAGGAAGGACTGTGCTAAAACAGCACATTGTCAATTTTTACAAAAGTATTTTGACTGAAACCTGGTATTTTTTAAAGGCGTTGTAGAATAAGTCGACGTCTGTGGAGAAAAGTATGGCAATAGATAGGTTTTACTTTTAGCCTACAATAAAGATTATGTTTTGGGACTAGAATCTCCAAAAGAGTGCTTTTATAAAACATGCCATAGTTTTATTTAGTAACAAAAGTGTTTGACTATGTTCCCGATGATACCAAGAGTATAGGTTCGGCAGAGTGGATTCACTGTGAACCGGACTGCCTGGCCCTTATGCACGACGTCACAATAACCTGCGTGTAGGGGTGTCAACAATGGATCGGAACAATCGATGTTTTGAACCTGTCTGTAACCCAGTTTTTATACTTTAATACTCATTATTTATAAACAAACACGTCCTACATATCGGATCTCGAATCACGATATTTATCGATACCCTTCCCAACCACAATAAGCACATAAAATGATGTCTAAGCAATCGTCATTTGCTCCATTGAAACACGAAAGTCGATTGGCTGACATGGTAGTGCATTGTCGCCTCCTGACCAATGAGAACTGTTGTTACATACTTTTATTGTCAACATTCATCATTCGTCATAACATTACAAAATCGACCTGGACTAAGGCTTATGATATTTTTCAATAAATACATTTAGCCCTTAAAACTTTACTAAACTCTTTAATCAGGTAGATAGTACAGATAATATGGACCTACTTTTTGGCGCAATATAAAGCAAGCCTAATCATACGACGATGACATTCGCGCGCCGGTTGTCTCATGAGTTGAGTCTGACATCTTGAAATGTAGATTGTGTTGTGCAATGAGCTGAAGCTAAACAATGTCACCGGCACCGTCGCTGTTTTGAACTAGATAGTTTCTAAGTTGGCTATGAAAATTGTTAACCGTGATTACAAAACTAATACTGTAGCTATAAAGTAAATAAATGTTAAAATAAAATATTTATCCCTGACGGATGTTGGTATCATCGGAATCGACTTTTGACAATCGAGTGTTGGTACCGATACCAATGTCCAAGTGGTAACCAATGGATGGTGGTATCGATGACGATAATCGATACATCCTTTTTTAGAACTGCATCGTGACCAAATCGATGCATGCTGGATCGAATCGGGATTCGATGCATCGAATTGAAATTTCAATGCATCGCACTCGCTGCACACCACTACCTATCACTATCACCTAGTGTCAGCTGTCGCTGTCAGTGAAATGGATGACGCAAGCGATGTCTAGGCTGCTGATTATTATTAGGCCTAGTATGTCAATATTGAAAGGGATTAAGGGATTAAATAAAACTCAAACATTTTCCTTTCTTGTTATTTACTTGTCAAATATCAACGAAATCAGCTTAACCTCTACTACTCGACTCGAGTTGCGAGTATATTTAACTGAGTAGGCAAACAGCTAAGATTCGTAACGGCAACGGCAATTTACCCGCTCTGAACTGACTTGATCCGCACCGATTCGTAGCATTCAGTGGTTCAGTGTCAGTATCGGTATCGAACCCAAAACAGGCAATAATCGAGTATCGACGATACCTCGATACTGCTGGTATCGAGAGTATTTTGGTATCGAGTATCGGTATCGGCCCACCTCTAAATAAAACAATTCAGCAATTTGTTATCTTAACTTGCCTCATCTTCTCGCATTATAAGGGTGTAGCATAAACCACAAAGGCCTAGGTTTTTAGGAGTTTTTGAGAGGATAGCAGGCTTACCTGAATGGGAAAGAGTCCAAACTGGCCCAGGAAACACAAAACTTTACAACTATATACACAAAACATTAGAATATTTCACTGTCACTGGCAGCATTTTCAACTAAGGAAGCTAGAGCCTCTTCCTTGGTTGAAAATGCTGCCAGTGACAGTAAAATATTCTAATGTTTTGTGTATATAGTTGTAAAGTTTTGTGTTTCCTGTGCCAGTTTGGACTTCTCGCATTATAGCTTTTTAACCACGATTTGGCAATTCTGTGGTCATGTTTCTGGCCCCTTTACTATTTTGTCAAGACAATAATAGGTATTTTGCGACACAGCACTTTTTTAGTGCACTTTTCACACATGATATTAGTTCAGAAAACAGCGGTTTGTCACCTCAACCAAGCATCTTAAAGTAATATTGGATTTCATTACGTGCTGGTGTATGGTAATTAATTTTTCTGGACACTAGCTGATTGTAATCATAAGATAAATCACAAACAAAGTTTGATAATAAGTAGTCTAACATTCTAATGAATGAGAGTGGTTACAAACAAAAGCATAACCTCAGAGAAGCCTACTTACTGTTAGTGACTGTTAAGTCCTCATATGGGTACGACCACACATCCAGTTAACACCTATTTTCCGGACTAGTAACGTAATAGACTATTACGTACATCAGTCAAAAGCTGTCTTTATCATACATAACATGGTACAGAATGGTACCTAATGACAATAGTATTTTTGCTTAGTTCTATTTACAAGATTATCTTAATAACTACAAAAAAACTCATCTGAAGAATAAAGAGGTATAGATAGCATCTGTCGCTTGCAAGAAGGGGCAAATGATAAAATATTACATAGACTTATCATTTGTACTTACACTCCTTTGTCTTGCATGCATCAATATACAGTAGACCCCCTATTAACTGACCTCGTAATAACCGATAATCGGATTATCCGCCTTCGATCGTAAAATAATACAGTTTGTTTTAACTGACCTTGCTTTGAGAGCAGTTCGGTTTAACCACCGCTTTCTAGGAATCTCGGCATTTCCGCTCCCACGCTGGGCGATGAGAACTGGACCATACACTTATCTCCACAGGATATGACTAAGAATAAGTTATTTTATATTGATCAGAAAAAATATAGCATATTGTCTGTTTGTCATCATTGTTTTTAGCGCAAGCACATCTGATCTGATTTGTTATCCTTGCGGCAAATTTATAACAATGTAAAGTGCGTTACGATTTAGAGAACTAATAATTTTATCTTATCGCTGGAGTAAACAAACAACGCAACTTGTAGGGAGGGCAGGGTAGGGGGGTCCCCAAGGTCAAGATAGCTTTTGTGCCTCGAGCCTCCAGTGGGAGGCTATAAATAAACATCCTATCTTGTGTAACAGGGCTAAATGTGTAGGGGGGTTAAATCGGTTCTGCTGGCCAATCAGCGAGCGATTTAACCTTCGTCGAATTTGTGACGTACTTTTCCACACTGAAACATATAACACTAGTTTACATGCCAGGTTCAAGTACCACGTGCTATACAGCACATTTAGTTTCCGGATAGGCCTCAGTACGGAGATTTGGGTTGGCCTTCCAGGGTTCGCGTCAAGATGTTACTTTCACACTCAGCCGTGCCGTCGCTTTGGCTGAGGTTTACCGCGTCGGAGATCTCGAGCATCTGACACTAGTCGCCACCCCCGAAATCGTTAACATGTCCCCACACGCACAGATTTCACATCAAGCATCGGCATATATTTATCTACAGTCCCACGGCTTATATGTAAACAACATTTGCTCCCCATGTATTTCTTATGGGAGTTAAATTTGGTTTTTCTTTGCCGAGTTCATTTGGCTCTTCTACCAGACTGATTTTCATGATTGAGGGCTCAAATTGAAGGTATGCACGCACAGATTTCACATCAAGCATCGGCATATATTTATCTACTGAATTACTCAACCAAAAAACATAAGTTAGATTTATT